TGCTTGATCTGTCCTAGCCGGCCGTTTCCTGTCGCGGAGCAGACGTCGAAGGCCTCATCAGCGACCTCCTGCGCCATTATCCCGATATTTGACCCGGGATGAACAGTGTGCTCGGCGCGCCAAAGGAAACAGGGCTGGCCATGCTGTGGTTCTCAAAGGATGTCCCCTTCGCGCCTGTCGAGTTCGTCTAATGATGTGCGGGCAGGCAGCTCGGGTACTGCATGCAGACCCTCGGCAAGCAGTCCCTTGAGAGAGGGAAAAAAAAAAACAGACGCTCAACCTCACAAGCGACTGTCGCTGAAGTAAACTTTCCCGACGAGCCCACACGTGCTGCGGCTTGCGCCCGTCAGTGCGCCTACGACGACTGACCTGCGCGTCTGCGAGTCAACGGCGCTGTCAACTCGAGGTAAGGGGCCGCTGCTACTTGCCGGGGCGATCAGCGCCAGGGCCGCCGCGGCCATGCTGAGTCAACAATGACAACCATCGCCCATCGGCCCATTACTTGAAGATTGAGCATGGGTTGTGCCGGACATGGCCAGGGGGGAGGGGATGGGGATACAATTCGACTTTGAATCCGCCGACCAATCCAGCAGGGTTGCCGACAGAGGACAGAGGAGCGGCAACGTCTTTTCGGGTGTCGAGAGGGCGTGATTCTCGGGAAATGGGAAAAGAAAGAATGCGTTTCTTAATCGAGCAGCAGTTTCCTGACGAGCACGGGGATCACCGTCCCAAAGGAGCCTGCTGTGCCGGAAACTTGCCTGAAAAGAGCTTAGATGCTGGTGGAGGCTAGATTAATTCGTCCACGGCCGGAGAGATGTGGATGGCTGGACAGGGGGCGGCCCTCTTCGGTAAGGACGGTTTGCGACCATGACAAGGTCCCGACGAGATGCTTGGCTCAAGAGAATCGGGGAGTCTTGCGCCATTCTCGTGTCCCGTCCCCATTGTCCCCTGAGTCCCCTGAATTTGTTTCTTGCTTGTTTGGGTGGGAACCCGGCGATGTGGCGTGTACGTCGTCTAGCAGTGGCACCCAGAGCCGACTGCCGCGAGCCACACGTCGTCCCCTTGAAGCTCTCATTTCCTCCCCCGCTGTGTTTCTCTGTGTGCCCTCTGTAGATCCATCAGGATCCCATGCCGTGGCTTGTTGTTGTTGGTCGTTGTCGTCTCCAGGCTCCATGTCGTTGGAGCGACCCAGCTCGGAGAATTGATGGCCTTGGGATTCTTAACGCGTTGGGTTGCAACACAAAATCCATAATCCAGAGAGCCGATCGCTTGGGTCCAACTTCCTGTGCCTCGTGGCGGCGCAGAATGTTTCAATACCCATTGCAGGACAGGTCTGAGCGCCGTGAACTGTCCAGCAGCTAGCTAGTCATGTTTCCCCCCGAGGCCGTCTGTCGCGAGAAGATGGCTCGCAGTTATGTTAGTGCCGTGCCAGTTGTGAATGCGCAAAGTAATGAAAGCACGTTTTGTTCAATCGACCACTAGTGCAATCTGCAGGAGTTGTGATTGTGTCGATATGGCTCGCGGAAGCAGGTTGCGTTGCCAGGGGGTCCGGTGGTTCTGGAGGGGTATATTAGCGAGCACATATACGCGTTAGACGACCGGACTATGGCCATGGGTTGCGAGAGCGATAATCTCGGCCTGTAATCCACAAACAAGAGCTGCACGCAGTTGTTTCCCAGAAACATCGACCCCTTGTGTAAAAATAACAAAAACCTGGCGTCTGGTTCGCGAACTGCAGTCCCAAACGGTGATTGACCCCTTAACTGCAGGTGACGATTCAGAAGTCGGCCTCGACCGAGCGGCTGATCAAGGCGGTTGACGGTATGGCTGTTTATGTGATGTAAGTTCGTGTTTCCCATGCCTACACAGCCCAGTCGAGCCCTGTCAAGTGTTTCGATCTCGAAACACAGACCAACACCAAACCAGTCCTTGATCGGGGAGTGTTGAAACAGTCTCCCAGTGAGTGCCGCTCTGCCCCCCGTCCAACGGCCTTCTCCACCGTCAAAGATGACGAGAATTCTGGGCGACGGTCGGCAGAGGGTCGAAAGGTCCCTTGGGAAGCCAATCAGATGTGCATCAAACCACCAAAAGGTCCAAGGCGTGACAGGGCCCGTGAGGTGAGGGCTGTTAGGGGCTCCAGTGTGGACCGGCAGGGACGGGGGCTGGTCCGACAGACAAGCGGCAAGCCCATCTGCACAAGGAATCCGCGTCGACAAGAGGCGTGACGGGTCCCGTGCCCGCGCGATCTCACAGAAAATTCGCCGTGAACCCCCCCTTGGCCCCCCCGGACGGTTACATCCAGCAAGGGATGCTTCCGCCGCGAACGTTGGTCTGTGACGAAGTCTGCGACTACAACGGGGAAGCTCTTTAGTTGAAGCGCGTCACAAGAATAGCGTGCAATCGTACCAGTTCCAGAACGAGGCCCGTGGAGAGTACGTGAAGCCGCCATAAGGTTGGCCAAGTCTGGGAAGAGGCGGTCTTGGAGGCCCTCGGAATCAGGGAAGAGGCGAGAAGAAACAGAGGTCCAGAGGCAGCTTCTGCAGACCGCAAACCCTGAATTGTGAAGATGGGCGGATAGATAGTTGGTTGGCAGCGGTAATTTAGGGTAGCGGTCGCAAGGTTCCTTAAGGTAAGGTAGGTAGGTACTCGTAGCTGGTAGTGCAGAGTTCGGTGGTGTATCCCTAGGCGCTCTCGTAGTGGCGGTACTCGAGCAACTGTGATCGACCTTGTAGCCGCGCTGCCGGGGACTGCCAGTCAAGGACGTATCCAAGAGAGGGGACTCGTACGACTGTCATTTAGCGGGAGCCCGATGGAGTGTTCCGTAGGAGGAGCTCGGCATGTCGAAAGTTGAACATGGCCGTCGTCATTGCTTGTCCGGTGGGCGATTCGGTAGCGGAGTTTCGAGAGGTGTTTTCCCCTTCCGGACCGGTGTGGTGCCCCGGTGCAAGGTAGTTGATTAAAGGCGCACGCACGTTTCTTCGACTTGCAGCTCGATATCCCACCGGATGTACAGTGTATTTTGGCAGCTGCTCAATGCTCGCTAAATGGCAGGAATGACCGACGGGCGACGGAGCCATTGTCTATTTTGGCAGCCGGGCAGCCCGCGAACCCCCCCGTAAAAGGACTTTGAGCGTCTTGTCTGGCCCGTGTGCCCTCCACAGAGGGAGGAGGTGTTGACCGAGTGCAGGATTCGTACAGAAGGTCCGTAGAAGCCAGTCGGTCGTCTGGGAGGTAAGGTAGGTAGGTCAGGTAGGTGCAGTCTGTCGGTCTGGTCTGTGGAAACGTTGAAGGTGAGGTGGTCTGAAGTTGACGTGGTTCCCGTGTCGTACTAGTTGATAGTGCGTCTCTTAGCGCTGTCACTTGCATACGTAGTCTAACGGCTTGGATTGCCAGTGCAGAGGGCAGAGCGCAGACAGCCTAAGCAGTGTCCATACAGACTGACACCTGCTGTCAGGTACTGTCACCCGTCGTGGCGCGCGTGAGGCAGGAGCTTGTCATTTCGCTCGTGCGCCGGGGGCCCAAGTCGAATAGTTGAGATAACGACGAGCTTGTTGGATGGGAACGGGTAGGCAAATTGAGGCACAAAGAAAAGAAGAAGGGCGCCCCCGTCCCGCAAGGATGGAGGATGAAGAGACCAGAGCGTGTGGGAGGCAGTCCGTCCCCCTACTGCGTAGACACGGGATGGGGGAGGGCGTTGCCGCGGCAAAGCAAGTAAGCCATCAATAAAGCTTCCTTAAGGTTTGTGTAAGGCAAGCACTAGTCAAGCATGGGACGGCAAGGTAAGACGATGTATCTCTAAGGCATGCCATGGTGAGATGATGTGAGCGAGTTAAGGTAAGCTAGACTACAGAGTTGCTTGGCTACGTTTTGTCACCCAGGCCTGGACTCGCAGGACTGGCTGGCAGGAGGGACTGATGAGATGGATGAGATAGCAAGAGGTATCCGTAGGTAGGTAGCAAGGGGCGAGCAGGGAGGGTGCTGAGGGCTAAGGAGCTAAGAAGAAGGAGCCGAATGCAACGGCGCTGGCGAGAGTCGTGATTAACTTTGTTTTTGAGGCGGACCACAAGCAGGAGGGCGGCGTACCTGAGAAGGAAACAATGGCGTTTGTGCTCCCTCGTCCCCCCGATCCTCTGTGGCCCTCAGTGGCTTACGGCGAAAGAGGCGTTGTGGGGGACGTGGAGAAGGTGACGGTGATGTGCCCGCGATGAGGTGACCCTCACTGGCCGGCGGGGTGGATTTTCATTGGCTTAGGTTGGTACTACGGGGATCACGGGCGACGGGGGTCTGCCTACCGGTCCAGGGTCCTCGCTCTCGTCATGATGTCGATGGACGATGATGCCGGAGGGACCACTGACCAGGAGGGTTGGGTTGGTTGATGGGAGGGGGGCAGATGGAGATTCGAAGAGGGGGCTGGCAGCTTCAAGGACGGACGACGGAGCGAGCTCCTGAGCTTCGTGGCTTCTCAATGGCAGGTTGAAGTGCCTGTCATCTGAGGCATGCAAAGAAAGCTATGTATTACCTCAGACATTTCCATCTCGCGCATAGACACGACGGAGGAAGGTGGAGAAGAGCCACTGGATTATTACGGAGCTTGCATTCGCCAATGCCAGTATCTTGCTCTCAATAGTCGTTCGGATATGTAGACCGTATGTCGGTAGAGGCAGGGAAGGACGCAGTCGAGACGTACGCGGGCAGTTTGCAAGGTCCGGATACTACAGCACCGCACCGGCGTGGAAGTCGGGGAGGTGGTCAATAAGTCATGTTGAGTGATCACAAGGCAATGTCAGGACTCAGTCGGGTACCACATGCCTCGCGTCATGTTAAGGTAAGGTGAAGCTTGGAGAAAGAAGGTCCAGTCCGGCAGCACCAAAGTGGGCGGGCCGTCGACTTGTGGTGACACTGACCCAGAAGACTTTGGGACTGAAAAACGTGCAAGTGGACAAGCCCGGGTGGGTTGAGATGGACCCTCCACGACGACTCTTCATCCACAACGACGACAAATGCCCGCAAAGTACGAAGTACTCCCCGAGGTAAGGTAGGCACCATGTGGTGGATTCCGGCCGGCATGGGACGGAGAGTAGAGTGACGCTATCAGATGCCAAAGCGAGAGGACAGGACGAGAAAGACGCTGCCGTTGCCGCTGCCGCTGCCGACAGCGACGACGACGACATTGACATTGACATTGACATTGACATGGAATAGAAGCAATTGGAGGTCGACTCCAACCTACTGCGTATGGCCCATGGTCCAATGGAGAAGGGGAGAGGCACAGTGCCACAGGACCCGTCTACGTCCCTGCCTGGGCAGAATACTGGGCAGCAGTGGGAGGTTGAAAGGAGAAAGTGGGAGGTGGAGCCGGCGGCGGAGAGCGACGATTGGCTGGCTTGACGACGGGATTGAATCAGTGCCCCGGCTCGTCGCGCAGGGAAAGCAGACGTGCCAGGCATCTTAGCCCCGGCCAACCCTGTCTGGCATAATTTTGAGTTTTCAATTCCTCTGTTAGTCGCTGCGGGTTTAATATCGGCCCTGCGCACTGTGAGGGGACACTGTATTTCTCCAGCGACTCTGCACCACGTCTGCGCCTTGAAACCCGCTGGACGACGGGGATGAGGCCCTGAACGTGGTCCAACTTGGCTGGACATGGGCCCCCCAAGCGCTGCTGGAGTCGCTGGAGACCGCTGGATTAGGCGCTGCGAGTGGGAAACCCGACTTCGAGACAGGGCACGCACGCAGCACGCATCGCGACCTGCCCCGCTTGTCGACGACCTCCTGCTTGAGTCCTTGGCATGTGCCCCTCCCTCTCCCCCGTCCCCCCGGTCTCTATCCCCCGATCGGTCTTCAACTTGTCCTGGGTAAGGGTCGGTGAAGCGTGGTACCGTGGGCACTTGGGTAGCGTGTCGACGGGGGTGTTGATGGTGGACAGACCACGGGGAACGAGGGCACCAAGGCACGAGGCGGCAATCATGATGAGGTCGGGTGGAGGGTGGATAGTGTGTGATGGTGGATGGTGGATGATGGGATGGGGAATGCCATCAACAGGGTCCTTGAATGGGAAACTTGGCTCCGGGCTTGTCGTCTCCAAGACGCGAGAGCTTTCATGATTCTGCTTCCGGTCGCCGTCGGTCGCCGGGGCGGTGCTCCTGCATCTTTTTCCGCCCTTTCCCCCGACAACCCGATAATGGAAGGTTCAAGGCTGTTAACTCGAGGCAATGTAAGAGCGAGAGTAAGAGCTGGCGAGGCGACGACGACACCATCAACTCGGAGAGCGGGAGGAGGGAGTGACCATGAAGGAAAGAGACTGTCTCGGGTCGGGAAGCAGCAGATGTCAGTGTCAGTTCAGTGCCATCCACTACCTTACCTTCCTTCCTTACCTTGTTGCTTACGATACCTACCCAAGGTACGGCAAGAGCACACTCCTGGCACCTGCTCATTCTCTTGCTATTGCCTTCGTTGCTCTTGCTCTCGCTCTCCGAGTAGTCCTCTGCACTTGCATTGGCAGTTGCACTCGCACTTGCACTTTGCATTCAATTTTGCACTTTGTCGTTCCTGCGGTGGCACTTGCGCTCGCAGATGGCTCTTGCTCTTGCCCCTTCTGTCCTGGGCCTGCTCCGGACACGTTCCGTCTGTCTAGACCTTGACCTTGACCTTGCTCATGACGAGACCGTTGGTTTCTCCTCCTCATCACGATTGAACTCTGGGCCTGGGCCTGCCCCGGATGTGAAAAACCACTTTGACTTCCCCTCCATCTATTTTTTTTTTTTGTCCTCCTGCGATGGAGTCGCCATGTCGGTTGGTTGTGCGAGTCGCTTTCGTATGTCTTGATTGGCGAAAAACGAGACGGCTCGACATCCCCGAAGCATGCGCTGGCTTCCTTGTCGATTGACTGAGGCGCTGCAGCTTGCAAGGTAAAGATGCCTTACTTTGTCCAAAGGCCCGACTGTTAATAGCCATTTCCTTGGAACTGGAAATTTATTATCGATAGTTGCCATTCGCTGCTCCGTAACTCATTAACCCTCTGTAAAGCAACCATGCGACAACAACCTTACCAGACCCTCAATTATCGGCCAGCTTCTTTACTTAGGCACATGTCCCCGGCAACCAAATGCACCTGCATACAATCCGAATCAATCAATCAATCAATCAATACAGCGAGAACTCGGGAGTTGCGAGACATTGGACACCCAAGTCCCCGAGTCTCCAATAAGTCTGCAAATGTACGTAAGCCGACCGGGTCATTCCCCCTCGTGCCCGCTTCTGTCCACCGCCGAATCGTCAACGTCCCCCTCACCTTAAGGTACTCGGACTATGCTCCGATCGCATCTCCATCTCCATCTCGGGAGACGGTGCGCGCGCGCGACTCGACTCGACTCATCCGCATCATCATGCAGGCAATCGCGTCGTCCGGCCTGCTCGTCCCATCTCCTCCCGTCCCCCATCCTCCATCCCATCCCTCGGCATAGCTAGCCAAGCTGGGCCCTACTTGCTACAGGCAAGTGGACATCTGATGATGGTCGGCCGCACACCGCAGACCGCAGAAGGACCACAGACGGCGCGGGCTGCAGTCAGTCAGTTGCTTGGCCCATGTGGCCACCGCTCCGGCCAGAGTCAAGCCCTTAACACTTCTCAGCAGCCATATTCGGCCGCCGCTGCAGCCGTTGGCCCCAAGCTTCTGCAGCTAACGTCCTGCAGCTACTGCGTCCTCTGCATGCACCCGGCCGTGATCCCTTCCCTTGCAGTCGCCCCCAGTGTCCAAGACCAGGACGGGACAAGCAGCGAGAGTCGAGCAAGAGTCAAGACAATTGGAAGAGCAGGACTGGCGGCACCAAGACCAGGTCAACGGCCGAGGTCCACCTCCAGGGCACGCCGTTGATGCTAACCGTCTGCTAGCGCATGTATGCTCGCTGTAAGGCGAGGCAAGGCAAGGTAGGTAAGCCAAGGCGTGGTGAGGTAGCGTAGAGGTTGACCGACCGCCGTCACCCGTCTACCACCACCACCATCACCACCACCACACCAAAGACTGCAAAGAGCTCCCCATCCATCCATGTCGGTACATGGAAGCTGCTCAGGTACCTTGCACACCCGTCCAGAGACCTACGAATAGGAACCCGGGATGGCCTTCCCATGGGTCGTGCGATCCGTCGCTCCTGCTTCTGGTGCTTCTGGGGCTCGCGTCCACTGGCACTGCTTTTTGCTCCTCTATCTGTGCTGCAACGCTGCGAGTACTCAATACCTGGAAGCTCGACGACTGGCCAGCCGAAGCTTCTCGGGAGTCATTGCTACTGTGCCGCGGGCCCAATTGCGCGTGAGACGGCGCCTCTGTCAGAAGAACCAGGACAATGCTGACTGGCGTGCAGTGCCTTGTGGCTTTGTGTACGTATATTTCATAATGGGCGGGCTTTATTCAAGGTCGGCTGTATCATCTCGCCTCTTCCCGTCTCGTCCCTTTTTCCGTGCCTCAACCGCGCAGCACCATCATGTAAGGTCCTCGTTGCTGACACTGCGTGTCAAGGCATCGTAATTGGGACAAAGGGCAGCACAGCACGGTCGTCGACTACACGAGCCAAGATTACGTGTTTCTCCAGTTTTGTGTGTATGATGAGACGGGTTGCCTCTTTTTTTGGTTTCCCAGGAACCCCTTTCCAAGTTTCCTCGCTTGGGGGGAGGGAAGGGTGGCCTGGATTTGCAAGTCTGAGCACAGATGATGGGCCAGGTCCCTTCAGGTCGTCCGACACCTTCCGCACGAGGGTTCCAAGGGAAAGAAGGAAACAAACAAAACACCCAAGAGATTCGAAGAACAATCCAAAGGTCGGATATTTTGCGCACAAACCCGAGCCTCGAGCAGGACGAGGCAAGGCAAGACGATACAGGAAACGACCAGGGGCAAGCCGGTAGGTACCGTAGTACATATGTACGCTCTTTTGCTAGCCGTAAGTACTCCGTACCTACTTCAAGATGTGCAAGGTATCGCTATAGACTATGGAGATGGAGGCAGGTCGATGGATAGGTGCCTTGCTTGGGGGCCTTGGCTGCGCCGCGCCAGCTCGATGCCAGCGATGGGTTGCGACTGGTTCGTGGGAATCCGGACACGGCACCTCCTCACCTCAGTTGACAGAGATGTGTGGGCTGCGTGCCGTAGCGCACTTCGGCTCTCTCTCACTCACACACACTCCCGTCTGTCTCTCTCCTCCGGCTTCCTCCAGCGTCTGCGTCTGCGTATGCGCGGGCGGCGGCGGCGGCGGGACCACACCGGGGGGGAAGAGAGGGAGGGGGGACAGGACTCGAGTCCCGTTGTCGACGTCGACCTCTTTCCTTCCCTGTCCTTACAAGTGGACGTCGGCCCCGGTACGTACACTACCTGGACTGAGGTGACTGCCCTGCTCGCCCCCGATGTGGCACCCGTGGACCGTCACAAAGTCCGGCCTATCAACTGCCATGATCAGGACCCAGGTGGCCCTCCCACCTACCCTGCGATTTTTGCGGACCCCTGGCCCGAGTGCGGGCACAGACTGTTAGCTTCCCCTTTCAGGAACTCCTCCAACGAACATGCCTGCACGCCTCCGCATCTGTGCCTCGCCCATTTTTTTTTTTTCTCTCCTCTACAGCACTCTCTGTTGCTGGTGTGTGTCTTGCTCTCGCGTATGGATGGCATTGCTCTCTTCTCATTGCTTCCAATTCCCCGAGGCTTGCCTTGCCTTGCCTGCATCTCTACCTTGCCACTTTTACGACTCACTGCCACACGCGCATACCGGGCACAGATCACCGGCGGGAGAGGCTGGGCTTGTCTTGTATCCAGTCGCAGCTGTTCAACCTTGAACCCTCTCACTTGTCAGTTACGGTAACACAGTCCGCGCAACTTGCAAGAGCCGTCCACGAGGGGGAGAAGAGGAGCCAGGAGATTACGCCTGGCCCATAAGGTCACTAGCGTCCATGTATGTAAGTCATAACGGATCTCCATATGAGTCTAATCATGCGCAGTGAGGCCTTGAGAGACGCAACCGCCAGCAGCATCGCGACTCGCGAGTCGTGAAGACGCATGCCATTCTCCATACCGACCACCAAGCCATGCCAGACTTGCCATCTTGGACACGTTTGACCGACCCGACCGCCTCTATTACCTTCCCTTCCCAGGACACCATGCAACCGCTCATGACAAGAGAGATACCAACTATCGTCTATGCCATCCATTTTTATTTTTCTCCGTC